GCATAAAGCAGTTCCTTATCGGCTGTGGAGAAGAGATTTTGGCTGCAGGGGCTTTTTTTCGCCTATCCACAACGCTGTGACAAGTAATTTCCAAGTGTGAAAGTGGCTTTGATATCTGCATTCAGCGCTGGGAGCAGTTGCATAACCCGGGCAGGCTCGGGCTGCAGCCACCGCCCGTGCCACGGGCACAGCGGCTCCTGCCAGCTCAGAAGCTCGGAGAATGTGTCATGAAGGGGTTTTTTTGCAAGTGGAGCCTTTCCTTGAAGAGAGGAAGAAAATCCTGATGGAAGGAGCTGCCTTTGAAGTGGTTCCTGCTCCTCATCCGGTGCTGAAAGGGCTGTGAAGTTGTGTGAAACAAAGGGCAGGTTCTGTTTAGAGCTTGCACCATCATTTCCTCCCCCGAGAGTGCTTTTTTCATCCAGCTGTGCTGTGTTTCTGTTGAGAATGCTGAGATTCATTAGCTGCAAAAATCGGGATTTCTGTGGAGGAGTCTGTGGATGAAATGACAATAAAATAATTTTATCAGTACCTAAGAAATCCATGTGAGTGTTTAGGATACCTGAGCCTAAGCCAGCAGCTGAAACAAAAATCTGGGTGTAGTTCTATTTATTTCCAAACAGGAGGACATTGATATTCTGCCTGAACAAAAGAGTTCAAGTTACAGGATCCAAGGTAAGGGCCTTGGAGAAGGGAGCTGCTCCCCTGCCCCAGCCAAGCCCGTGTGCCTCCAGCATCCTGCTCTTTGCAGGTGATGTGTTTCCTCTTCCTCTTGGGATTACACCTGGGCTGTTTCATGAAGAATAATTACATTTGATCTAGGAAAAGATGAATGTTGAGGAGGAGGGAATTAAAAAGAAATTATAAAAAAGAAGCAGCCTCAGTCCCTTGTGGTTATTGGAGTGGGAAGGGAACACTTTGTCAGAGTGACACTGAGTCCTCTGGTGAGGTGTCCTTGGCTGGGGCTGGGCCAGAGCACTGGTACATGAGACAGGCTAGAGGATGTGAGGATGGCTTCCAGGGATAGTGTCCCTGCCTTGGGAACAGGCTCCAGAGTCAGTGCTGCCCCTGTGCTCCCGGCTGGCCAGTGGCAGCTGGCCCCTTGCTCTCCAGGCTGGACCAGGGAGCCTGGTGTGTTCCAGGAGGAGCTGCTGGAGGGGGGCAGGGGTGCAGCAGCCTGGGGACTCATCTGGGGTTCAGCTGAGCCTTCAGCTCAGGGGAAGGAGCTGTGTCCGTGTTGGGGTGATCCCAGTCCTGACTCTGAGCTCTGACCATGGGCACTGCTGGTGTGGGACTGGGGCATGAGACACCCTGAGACAGAAAGTTTGGTCTTTTTCATGGAATCACAGAATGTCCTGAGCTGGAAGGACCCACAGGGATCATCCAGTCCAGCCCCTGGCCCTGCACAGACACCCCAACAATCCCAGCCTGGCCATCCCTGGACCTCTGGCAGCCTCGGGGCCCTGCCCATTCCCTGGGGAGCCTGGGCAGTGCCCAGCACCCTCTGGGGGAAGAACCTTTCCCTGAGATCCAGGCTGAGCCTGCCCTGGCCCAGCTTCCAGTCTGCTTTTCCTGTCCCCACAAAAAGCTGCCCCGTAACCCTGCACTGCCAGCCTCTGAAGGGGGCAGGCAGGGAAGCATGAGCCAGTCAGGGAGCCCTGGCAGCTGTGACAGCTCCCAGGGACAAGGGGGACAAGAAGAGCCTCCAGTGCAGAGTGAAGCCACATCTCTGACAAAATCCCCTCATTTTCTGAGGATGTTTGGATACTGGCTCCAGCCATGAGCTCCAGTGGAGGTGTCCTGCCCACAGCAGCTGGAACTGAAGCCCTTTAAGGCCCCAACCCAACCCAGTCTGTGATTCCATGATTACTGGTTTGGGCCAGTCAGTGTGTGCTGAGACCAGGATCTCAGATCCACCCAGTGGAAGGATTCTTTATCCTGAGGATCGTCCCCTCAGCCTGGTCAGGCTGTGTTTCCCTGGTGCCCTGTCCTGACACTGAAGGGCTGCAGTGCTTCCTGGGGTAGCCTGGAAGGATTTTAGCAGGAATTGCCCAAAGGGAAAAGGCTGGGCTTCTCCTGGCCAGTTCTGCCCTCCTTTGCCCTCAGGAGTTTCAGGAACAGGAGGCTGTTCCTGGCTTGCACTTTTGGGACCCTGTGAGCTGCCCCTCTGTGTCAGACTGGTCTGTGCACAGAGACACACCAGACCCACACCTTCACTGGCACCCATCTGCAGGGTTGTTCTCACACTGACTCCTCTTCCTCTGTGTTCTCCTCTTGACTGGAGTGGAGCAACAGCTGCTTTTCCTGGAAGCTTGGAGTGTGGAGCATCCCGGGCTGCTTTTATATCCTGATGCTTTAGATCGTTAAATTCTCACGGCTTAAGCTCTTTATTTCTTGTTTTGCTGTGCTTATGAGAGGATCTCCTGGGGCCCTATTGTACAACAAATACAAATAATCCATGAATAAAACAGCCTGGCTCTTTGTACTGCTGGCAGTCTGCAAGGATTGCTCCCAGATAACATTTTGGGATATTACTCATTTTGATTTGTGCCTTCTACCAGCGTTTCTCTGCTCAACAACACTGCAGGGATGTTGCCCTCTGGAAAGAGGCTTCTCCAGATTAATTTCTGATTTTTCTACCTGTTTGCTGTCTGCCTTTGGCAGAGTTTCAGTTTCTTTCAGTGCTTTCCCTGCCCAGCCATGGTGAGTTCCTGCAGGTTCTGGGGTAGTTCAGGTGTTGCAGAGGGGCACACACAGAGGCTGCAGTTATTCCCTGTCAGTGCTGCACCGGGGGAAGAAGCCCTTTAATTTACTCATAGCATGTTTAGTTTTATGAAGTCCTTGACCTTAAACTTCTAAATGAGCTGGGATGTGATTTGGAGAATAGTAAAAGGAGATTTAAATGGGAGAAGGCCCCACTTGCCTGCCTGGGAGGATGTGCTGCTCTCACTGGGGCTGCTGTGAAACAGGACCAGTTATGTTAAATACAAACTGGTATTTACTGGTGCCTTGAAGCTGCTGCACTTGTTCCCCACTGGGAGCTGCCCTTTGGGGACCCATTAATTCATTAATTGGTCTCCAGTAATTCCACAGGACTGATGAGGTGTGGGCACTGCAGATTTTCCTCCTTAGATCTTTTCCCTCTACTTTCTTCTTCCTCTGTTATGTGCAAAAACCATGTTTATTTTTCTGTATTAGCTCCTCTACTGTTCTTCTCTCTTCAGTAATTAACAGTTGATTTCCTGCTTGTCTCTTGACCTTTCTTTTGCCAATCCATTGAAATCAGAAGAATTTCTTGTTCTTTAAATATCTGCTTAAATGCCACGGGTAGAGGTCAGCTGGTCTAGTTCTTGACATATTTGGAAGATGTTCCTGGTGTTCATTTGTTTCTCTTCTAGTTATTTCTTAGTAAATAACCTGGAAGGTTTGCATAGCAAATTGGTGTAGATATTACTTTTCCCTCCATGGTACACACAGAAATGGGTGCTAGGTGAGTGATACATTGATTTTTATAGGTAGGGCAGAATTCACTGATGTGGCAGTCGGGATCTGAAAGAATAAAATGTTCCTTCTCTGGGCACCGTGTGCCAGGGCCTCCCCACTCTTACAGGGAAGAATTTCTTCCTCCTGGTCCTGTCCCTCCATCCCTTGTCCAAAGTCTCCCTCCAGCTCTCCTGGAGCTCCTTCAGGCCCTGCAAGGTCACAATTCAGTCACCCCAAAGCTTCTCCTGTCCAGGTGAGCATTCCCAGCTGTCCCAGCCTTTCCTCCCAGCAGAGCTGCTCCCATCCTGGAGCCTCCTCCAGCAGCTCCAGCTCCTGCCTGTGCTGGACCCAGGGCTGGGGCAGCTCTGCAGGTGGGGTCTCACCTGAGCACAGGGGCAGAATCCAAATCCCTGCCCTGCTGCCCACACTGGGATCAGCATTTATATTTTCCAGTCCACAGTGTGCAGACACAGCAAAGGAGTTCATCGAAACTGCAGATTTCCCTGAAAAATTGCTCTATAAATAAAAATAAATTCCAAAAATAAGTGAAATAAAACATCAGTAGAAGATGAAGGGGAGGGGAAGGATGGAAGCAAGCGGATGTGAGGAGTGGATTTGTTCCATTGTCAAGTGCTTGTGTTGAGAGGCCTTTTGTCACCAGTGTCTCCTTTGGACAGCAGCCCTTGGAGGGCAAATGAGAATAACTCCAAGCAGAGAAACTCTCTGTCCCCTTCCTAGGAGGGAGTTGGATCTGGGAATCTTCTCCACATCTCCCCTTGGAGGGGGCAGCCAGGGGTGTTGGGCTGTGTTCCCAGGGAACAGGGACAGGAGGAGAGGGAACGGCCTCAGGCTGGGCCAGGGGAGCCTCAGGGTGGATTTTGGGAAAATTTCTCATGGAAAGGTTGTCAGACACAGAACCAGGCTGTGTAGGAGGTGATGGAGGGGTTTAACAGCCCTGTACATGTGGCACCTGGGGCCATGGCTCAGTGGTGGCCTTGGCAGTGCTGGGTCAAGGTTGGACTTGATGTTTTGAGGGCTTTTCCAACATAAATCCTTCCATGTTTCTGTGAGGGTCCCCTGTGCTGATGATCCAGCTAGAGGCACTGAAACACCTGTAACTCATGGGGAGGTTTTGTGCCTGGGGAAGCAAATCCAGGAGAGAGAGATATTTCCTGCTTATTGTGCCAGTGAGTTAAACTCCTGTACAAAGAAAGTGCCTGTGCTCTGAGGTCTGCAGAGGGAGGATTTGTGTGGCACCAGCTGGCTCAGCCCAGGTGAACAGGGCAGATTTCCTAAAGGAACAGGTTTGCTTCAATCTCTGAGTTCTTGGAATATAATAATGATTTCATTTCTTTCTCCTGTTTGAATCTGTGTGCAAGACTGGAATATCTTTCCTGGGTCAAAATGAGATGTCAGTGGGATTTTTACTTTGTTCCTGGGTGAGAATGGGATGTCAGTGTGATTTTTCCTTCATTCCTGGGTCAGCATGGGATGTTAATAGGATTTTTCCTTTTTTCCAGCAACAACGCACTGTTTATAGGCTGACCCTGGTGAAAGCTTGGAACGTGGATGAACTCAAAGCTTATGCTGACCTGATATCCCTCGGGAAACCAGACTTCATTGAGGTCAAGGTGAGCTGCATGGAGCTGTTTTAGTTTTTCCAGCACTATTTTCCATTGTTTTGTCCCCATTTCCCCCCTGCCTTTAGTCTAAACTTTCTAAGTAAAATTCTTCTGAAGTGATGCATAAGAAACTCCTCTCTTGCTTTTAATATTAGGGAACAATAATTCACATTCAGGTGATGTTTTCTAGTATCCTTGTACGTACCTTTGGAGCAGGTTTCCCTGTGCCACAAACCAAACTTTGTACCAGCCAGCCTTGATTTCTGCCCAACAGAATCATCACTCTCTGGCCTTTTTTTGTATTTCTGTGAAAACAAAGATAAATAGATATTCCTTATTTATGTCAGCTATCAGTTGAAACAAAATATTCCAGGTTCAGCTGGTAGTTTGGGGTAGGATTCTTCCCATCCTGGTCTCGAGTTTTGCCAGGGGAAAGGTGAAAGGTTCATTGATATGTTTGTGTTTGGCTGGGTTTGAGGGCTGCCAGCAGATGTGAGATACAGCAGGGAGGAGGGCTTTATCGTGGGCTTAATTCAGTAAATATAGACTGTAAAAAAAGTTACAAACTTGTAAAAAAGGGAGGAGGGACTTTATCGTGGCTTAATAAATTCAGTAAATATAGATGGTAAAAAAAGCTACAAACTTGTAAAAAAGGCATCTTCCCACGTGCTCTGAGCATTCTCACCCAGCAGCTCCTGCAGAGCAGCACAGCTGTTTGTGCAACTCTGTGTTTGTGCATTCTGTTGCTCCTGGACTCTCATTTTTCTTTTCTCGTTTCCTTCTCTTGTGTAATTTTTTCAAACTTTCTTTCATTTTTTAACCTTTTTTTAAAAATTTTTTCAACCTTTTTTTACTGCTGCTATGAAGAAAAAGCCTGGATTTTGCTGTGAAGGTTTGACCTTCTGTCAGCATGGAGATTTTTTCTCTCTGGGTGTGCTGCTGAAGTTGGGAGCTTCATCCCAGCTTGGGTTTGGAGTTTGGTTTGGGGAAAACCCGTCGGTTTTCCATCTTCCCTGGCTGTGCAGGATCCTGCCAGGGAGGGGAGGGCAGGGATGCAGCAGAGGCTGTGGGCCTGGTGCTGCTGAGGCTGCTCTGCCCGGGGCATTAATGTTAATTAGTGAGATGAGGAGGTGCCAGTTGATGTTCCAGCAGGGATTCCCCCAGGAACTGTCCAGGGCAAACATCTGTCCCTGCAAGGCACGGGCTGCTCTTCCTTCTGCCTCACAGTGTCACAATCCTGCTTTCCCAGAGTTCTGCCCTGGAAAAATCCTGCCTTGCTCTGCCAAGGAAACACATGAGTGGTCACAGGTGTACTCCTGGTGCTCTTCCAGCTGGGACAGGGATTTATCTGATCTCTGAACCCTGTTTGTGGGAGCTGGGACAGGGATATTCATCACAGGGATATTCCTGGATCTCTGAACCTTGTTTGTGGGAGCTGGGGCAGGGGTGTTCATGGATCTCTGAACCCTGTTTGTGGGAGCTGGGACAGGGATGTTCATGGATCTCTGAACCCTGTTTGTGGGAGCTGGGACAGGGATATTCATCACAGGGATATTCCTGGATCTCTGAACCCTGTTCTGTGAGCTCTGAACACAGCTCCCCTGTGAGCTGGGACAGGGAGGGGCTGGGTGACATGCCCAGAATCCAGCAGTGGGATGGTGGCACTGGGGGTCCAGTCTCACACTGTGCTGATCACACAGCATTTGGGACTTGGCAATTTTCCCCAAAAGACCTGGTATTTTTGATTGAAAATCATTTTTTGTGTTCCTTTGGGAACGAAGCATATTTGGGGTGTGGATAGGCCTCAGCATTCCTTTCTCCAGCCCCTCAGTGTGCCAGGGTAAAATCCAAGAACCAGGTGGTGCTCAAACCAACCCTCAAAGAGTGCTGGGGACATTCTGCAAAGCTCTGCCTGACAGTGGGGCTGGGCCTGGGGATTTTCTGGCTGAAGACTTGGGATAAATGACGTCCATTTCAGATGAAGGCAGCTAATCCAGTGTTGCTCCAGAGAGCCTCACGGGGTGGATGGAGAGAGATTTAGATTCTTGCAGGGCTTAATCCTTGTTCTCATTTCCATGAGTGCCTCACAGTGCTGTAACTCTGTGGGACCCCATTCTCCCACTTAAGCCAATAGTAAAGGGAGACTCAGTCATTAAAAATGCATCAAATTGATTTATTGCCTTAATCTGTTCTAATGCCAGTGTGTCACTGTCACACTTGTACAGAGCTGATGGTTGTACTTAAGTCTGGAATGTGCCAGAACTCCTTTTCTTCCCATGGTGCCCTCTTGGGGTTCCATGAAAGCCAGAGGTTTGTTTGATGTGCAGCATTTTTGTGTCCAGGGAAGGGAATGGAGGTGTGAAGGGGCTGGAGCCCCAGGAGAGGATAAGGGAGCTGGGAAGGGGCTCAGCCTGGAGAAAAGGAGGCTCAGGGGGCCCTTGTGGCTCTGCACCACTCCTGACAGGAGGGGACAGCCGGGGGGTCGGGCTGTGCTCCCAGGGAACAGGGACAGGAGGAGAGGGAACGGCCTCAGGCTGGGCCAGGGGAGGTTTGAGTGGATTTTGGGGAAATTCCTTCACTGAAAGGGAGGCCAGGCCCTGGCACAGCTGCCCAGGGCAGTGGTGGAGTCCCCATCCCTGAAGGGATGTGAAAGATGACTGGACATGGCACTTGGGGACATGGGTTAGAGTAGCCTCAGCAGTGCTGGGTCAGTGACTGGATTTGGTCTTAGGAGTCTGTCCTTGCTGAATTCTAGAATTGTGGAATAGTTTGGGTTGAAAGGGACATTAAAGCTCATGCAGTGCCACCCCTGCCATGGCAGGGACACCTCCCACTGTCCCAGGCTGCTCCAAGCCCCAGTGTCCAACCTGGCCTTGGGCACTGCCAGGGATCCAGGGGCAGCCCCAGCTGCTCTGGGCAGGGTGAAGCTTTGGCACTCAACTCACAGCAGTGGTGTGAGCTCCAGCCTGAGCAGAGCCTTCCTGCTTCCCCCTGTCCCTCAGAATTTAAGGAAGAAACCCAATGCTGCCAGGCTGGCTCTTTGTCCCAGGGCTGTCCATGGCATGGTGTCTGAAGGCAGGACTGGGGCACAGCAGGGATCCAAGTCATGGCACAGAATCTTCCCAAGCCTTTGTGAAGGTTTTCAGCCACTAGGAAGCTCTTTCCCTGCTGATTTTCCTGCTGATTTTTTTCATGTAGTTGGATAATCTCAGTGTCCAGCCCAGCTCAGGCTGCTGCTCTGGGACTGCAGCTCCTGCTCTGGTACCTGAGGCTTGGCTGCAGAGTTGAAATGACCAAGTAAATGTGTGCAAGGAAGGGCCAGGGGGAGGTATCTGTCCCAGTCTGCTCACTCTTGTCAAGTTAAACAGTAAAGACTGTTTAATTGCTTAAAATAATGATGAAAATGAGCTGTGCCTTAATGAGTTTTTAATTGCATGCAGCAAGAGGCGATTGCCCCCACCTGTCCAACACCCATTCAGGATCCTGCTACCATCCCAGCTGGAATTTAGATGAAGAGGTGAAGCTGAATCACCCATTCTGGTGCCTGCTGTGAATAAACCCAAACAATGTATGATTTCCACACCTGAAAAAGACTAGCATTGGACACTTGCTGTTAGAGAATCACAGAATCATTTGGGTTGGGATGGACCTGCAGGACTGAATCCAACCACTCCCAGCACTGCCAGTGTTCCCAGGTGTTAAATCCTGCCAGGGATGGGGACTCCAAACCTCCCTGGCAGCCCCTTCCAAAGCCTGACCATCCCTTCCATGAAGAATTTTTCCCTGATGCCCACCCTGCCCCTCTCCTGGTCCAGCCCGAGGCCGTTCCCTCTCCTCCTGTCCCTGTTCCCTGGGAGCACAGCCCGACCCCCTGGCTGTCCCCTCCTGTCAGGAGTTGTGCAGAGCCACAAGGGCCCCCTGAGCCTCCTTTTCTGCAGCTGATCAGTCCCAGGTTGGACCCGGTGGTCCTGGAGGACTTTTCCACCCAGGATAATTCCATGGTTGTGACCCTGGAGCTGAGGGGGTGGCTCAGCAGTGGCTGTTCCTCTCTCCATCCTCACAGGGCTCCTGTGGAGAGCTGGGGTGAGAGGCTGGTCCTGTGTTTGAGTTCAGCTTTCCCAGGAGGAGTTGCTTTCACTTCCAGGGAATCCCTGCCCATTTCCAGGCAGTGCAGCACCCTCTGCAGGTGTGGGGGGTCTGCAGAGCTGCTGGGGGATACTGGGGCTGTGCTGTACAACCAACCATCCTCAGTCCTTCCTGCAGACTGAGGTGGCACAAAGGGCTGATGGCCTTTGTTAAATCAACTTGAAGCAACTTGGTGATTAAAAGCAGCCAAGGAGTTGAATCCTGGCTGAACCCACTGCAGCAGGAGCAGACGTGTGTGAGGCCTTGTGGCTGTAATTTGGGGAGTGCTGCTGCTCAGCTCAGGAGTGTTTTCATTGCAGAGATGGCAATCAACGTGGCATTGAGGCTTTTTATATTTGTCTGGGGTCACGGCTGGCCCAGATTTTAAACAGCGTCTCTGTCACTCAGCAGCTTGGCCTACACTTTGTTCTCTGCTAATTTGTACGAGCCTCAATTAAATTTATAATTTGTGGGCCCGGAGTGAAGAGAACTGTTTTGTTCAGTAATTAAATTGGGAAGTCTGGAGTGTGAGTGGAGAAACAAAGCACTGTCAGCTGTAGTTGTTTCCTTCAGAGCCCTGGGGATGGAAGGGATTGCTGGCTGTGTGCATCCCGGGGCAGCAGCCAGGTCCTTGGGGCAGGAACGTGCTTCTCTTGCTTCCCACAGCAGCAGCAGCCACCCTGGCATAGGCTCGGAGCTCACTCAGCTCCATTACAGCTGAAAATCAGCCCTGGGCCAGCACAGAAGGGTGTGGAATGGGATGGGATTTAAGGTCCTTTCCAACCCAAGCCATTCCATGATTCTGTGAACTCCATAGCATGCCCAGCACAGTTGCTCTGGATTCATCCTGGCAGAATCAGGAAGAGCTGGGATGCTTTTCAAAGGCTTCTGCATTTCAAGGTACTTGGCCAGAGCTCTGTGGATTAGGCTGCTCAAAGCACCCTTATTAAGCAGGTAATTAAGAGGCAGAATCGTTGCTGTTCCTGCCGCAGGGAGGCTGGGGAGAGAGCTCTGGGTGAACAATGGGATCCTTTCCTTTTTAATTCTTGATGTCTTAATAACTGTCTTCATGTATTACTGCAAAGCAGAACGTGACCGCCCTCATCAGCTCCGCATGGGTTTTAAGTGCTATCAGCTGTTAATTAACTCCAGTTTGAAGAAGTTGGGGAAGTTGAAAGCTGCTTTCCTTCGGTGTGCTGGAAGCTGATTCCCATTGATTTGTGCTAGGAATTAATCAGCCAGCCAAGCACTCACTTATTCCATTTGCCTCTGTGCTTTCTTTGCTTGTAAACGATACCTTTGTAGTTTACTGAGAGCATGAATCACGTTGGAGCTTCTGAAGAATTTTCCCCCTCTATACTCATACATTTTTCATGCTGCTCAAATCATAATCTGGATAATGAGTGTGGGGAGAATATTGCTGTGTGTCTCCAGCTGAACTTTGGGGATCCAAACCCCTGATTTGCGTGGCTGGCTGCTCTGATATAACACTGACTAATAGAGAAAACAAACATGTTTCAACTCTGGGTTCAGACTTACAGAGCTGGCCTAAAAAAGCCTGAATGTACATCCCTGGTGAGCACTCCCTGGCTTGTGGCCTGTCAATCTTCCTGCAGGCTGGCTCTGAGTTATGGTGCTTGGGCAGATTAATGGGGGGAGTCCCTCATAAATTTATGGGTGAGAAAGTAATTGCTTCCAAAACTTGTACAGTTCTCAATTAGCAGCAGGCTGTTGCTCCTGTAGCCCTGTATGTGCACTGTGCTTTGGTTGAAAGTGTTGGCAAAGATGTGTCTGCATATTCTGTGTCCAGGGAAATGCAGGTAAATCAGCATTTCGGAGCATGGTGGCAGCTGGAGCAGGTGCCATGGCCGTGCCACACATGAACCTGGATGCAAATTCCATTTAAAGAGGTCAAAGTCTTCTTCCCAGGGGGAAAACCAGGAGCAGGCCAGACACAACATCCATAAAACTGTGTTGTAAAGGCTGGTGCTTGATGAGATTTTGTGACTGGAATAAAAGAGCTCAGCCCAAGAGCAGAGGGGCTGGAACCAGGCAGAGAGAGGGGCAGAGGGGCTGGGTGGTGTCTGGAGAAAAAGCCCTTTGTTCTGTTTGCCCTTTGGGCACCAGGGTTGTGACCAGCCCTGGGATATGGTGTGTGATCTCCTCTCAGGGATGGCAGATGAATTGCTGGGAAATTGGCAGTGAATTATTTGATTGGGAGCAATTGATGGGGGTCGTGATCCTGGCTGTGAAATATTTTCAAGCAGACATTGAAAGACACCCTAGAGCTGAGCAGGGTCTGCACCCCAAGTGGGTGACACTGAGTGCTCACCACCCACTGAGCTGCTTGTGCTGTGGGGCAAATTACAGGGCAAGGAGCATTCAGTGTTCTGTGCTGTCCAAGGGTTTTGTGTCATACACTGGCTAAACAGGAAGGGAAGGGAAGGGAAGGGAAGGGAAGGGAAGGGAAGGGAAGGGAAGGGAAGGGAAGGGAAGGGAAGGGAAGGGAAGAAGGAAATGCAAGTTTGAGGTCATGGCTGAGACTAAATCAGTAATTTAGGAGGTTCAGGTGATCACATCTCCAAATTAGGAGTAACTGGTCCCTGAATGGTGTGGCTGGATAAGGAAGGCTTGGGTGTGGCACTCAGTGCTCTGAGCTGGGTGACACAGTGGGGACTAGTCACAGGCTGGACTTGGTGATCCTGGAGGGCTTTTCCAGCCTCAGGAATTCTGGATTCAGAGGCAGAGAGTGGTGGATGTGGTGGGGGAGAGCTGGAGGTTTTCCACTCCCTGAGCAGTCCTCCAGAGCGGCAGTGCTCGTGTCCTGGCTCTGTGTGGGGACAGAGGGACACGAGTCCTGCTCCAGGCTCTCCATCCATGCCTGGTTGGGGAGGGAGCTGGAGCAGGAGCCCCTTTTCTCTGACACCCCAGGATCTGCAGGGGAGGTGTCCTTGAATGATGTCACCTCTGAGGGGCAGTTCTGGGGGTGCTTCCAGAACATTATCCAGAAGCTGCTTCCCAAAGCTCCAGTGCTCCCACCATGGAGGGATTGAGCTTTGTGTCGGTCTCTGCTGTGCCAGGGATGCTCCCAGTGCCCATCAGCTCCGAGTGCATGGGATGGGTACAGCTCACCCAGGGACCTGCTGGGTTTGGGTACAGGCAGGGCACGGCAGAAATATCACAGCCTGGGCTTGGAAGGAAAAGGCCCAGAGCTCTGTGGCACATGGACAGGATCTTTGGGACTGTCCCACTGACATGGCATTGGTTGCCCATGAGACTCTTCCAGACTTGTCTCATTTCCAGCCCCAGTGACCTTCTCCAAGGTCCCTTGGTCACTCGGGAGCATCCTGCCTTTTCCTGTTAAAGCAGTGTTCCAGGATCAAGCCCAGCCTCTGAGTCACTGCTGGGGACACCTGGCACGGTGCTTTGGGAATGTGTCACTGCGGGAGGGACCCATTTTGATGCCATCTAGAGATCTGTGACCTTGCCATGGGATCGGGTGTGAGGGGGCAGAGCTGGCAGCTGCAGGGTTTGCTGTGGCTGGCACTGCCAGGGCTGGGGTTGCTGAGCTGACTGTCCTGTTTCCCTGTGTCCCCAGGGTGTGACCTACTGCGGAGAGAGCTCTGCCAGCAGCCTGACCATGGCCAACGTGCCGTGGCACGGGGAGGTGGTGAGCTTCGTGCAGGAGCTGGCGCGGCTGCTCCCAGAGTACGGCATCGCCTGCGAGCACGAGCACTCCAACTGCCTGCTGCTGGCCCACAGCAAGGTGAGCCTGCCTGGGGAGGGCACAGCTGCCTTCTCTGCTTCTAACAGCCTTATTCTCCAGAGTTATCCCCAATGGTTTCAGCTGGAAAAGCCCTCTGGCTCTTTGTGTCCAGCCGCAGTGCCAAGGCCACTGCTGACCCATGTCCCAAGTGCCACATGCACACCTGTGTTAAACCCCTCCAGGGATGGGGACTCCACCCCCGCCCTGGGCAGCCCATTCCAATGCTTCCCAAGCCCCTCCAGTCACTGGCCAGGAGAATCCAAGGTGTGCCCCAGGATTCCAGCCCTTCACACCCCTGGATGCCACTCAGACCCAAGGGATGCTCTGTTATTTTCCTGTTGCTCTGAGCCACCTCTCCAGAGGCAGAATCACCATATTTGAATCAGAAAACCACACAATCATTTGGGTTGGAAAAGCCCAACCACTGCCCCAGCCAAGGCTGCATTGTCCCATGTCCCCAAGTGCCACATGCACAGGGCTGTTAAACTCCTCCAGGGCTGGGGACTCCACCCCTGCCCTGGGCAGCTGGGCCAGGTCTGGAGAACAAATTCCAGGAAGGAATTTTCCCAAAACCCACCCTGACCCTCCCCTGGCCCAGCCCGAGGCCGTTCCCTCTCCTCCTGTCCCTGTTCCCTGGGAGCACAGCCCGACCCCCCGGCTGTCCCCTCCTGTCAGGAGTTGTGCAGAGCCACAAGGGCCCCCTGAGCCTCCTTTTCTCCAGGCTGAGCCCCTTCCCAGCTCCCTCAGCTGCTCCTGGGGCTCCAGCCTCTTCCCAGCACCACTCCCTTCCCTGGATATGCTCCAGCCCCTCAGGGTCTGCATTGTCATGACAGCTTCTCTGGGCAACCTCTGCCAGGGCCTCACCCCCCTCATGGTGAAAAATATTCTCTTATATCCAATGGAAATCGACCCTGCTGCTGTTTAAATCCATCAGCCCTTGCAATAGGTCCTGCTGGGAAGGTTTGACTCCCCTTCAAGTACTGGAAAGGAAATGAAATTAAATGCAAGTGAAATGCCAAAAAAAAAAAAAAAAAATTAAAGGATGGAGGGAAATAAAAATAAAGAATAAAAATTGGAAAGGAAACGAAATTAAATACAAATGAAATGCCAAAAAAAAAAATTAAAGGATGCAGGAAATGAAAAATAATGAGTACATATTTGCTTTCTGAGCTTCAGAAAAGATTAATAGAAGGACAGCAGAAAAAGATAATAATGTGCCAGCTGGGCATGTGATGAAATTGTCGATTGCTGGAATGCTTTGTGTTGGAAGGACCTTAAAGCCCATCCCATTCCATGGCAGGGACACCTTCCATGATCCCAGGTGCTCCCAGCCCCAATGTCCAGCCTGGCCTTGGGCACTGCCAGGGATCCAGGGGCAGCCACAGCTGCTCTGGGCACCCTGTGCCAGGGCCTGCCCACCCTCACAGGGAGGAATTTCTCCCAAATATGCAATCTAAACCTACTTTGGAATCTGCAAATGGAGCAGCTGGGAAGGAGCAGAGAAAACCAGCACACCTGGCACTGGTTGTGTTTGATCTCATCTTAAATTGGCTTTATTTACAGTCTCACTCCTGGCTGTTGCCACTGGCAACTGTTCCTGAGAAAGCAAAATCTCCTTTTGCATTGTAAGGTCCAGGAAAGCAAACAAACAGATTGCAGAAGCCTTCTTGAGGCAGAATTTAAGTAACACCATTAGCAAAGAGAATAAATTGGTACCTGTCCAGGAGGAATTCAACAGCTGCTTCTACTTCCACAGCCATTAGCAGAGGGTGTCTGTGGGAAGCAATCTGTCCTCGGTGCTAAAATAGCTAATAAAAATAAATTTATTTCCATTAGGGTTTAATTTTTGAGTTTCAGGCTCTAGTGGAGAATATAATCTGTCAGTGCCTATTATTTGCAGGAAAACCTGTGCTCTGGGACTGATCAAACTGGAGTAATTGCAAAATCAAAGGGGTCCTTAAAAATAAGGAGTTGCAGGAAGAGTGTGATAAAAATCATTAAGAAATGTGATTTATTTCACTGTGTTTTCCTAGGTCTGAGTTTGGAGGTGTTCAAACAATGCTCCTGATAAGTTTAATGCTGTCATTGAATGCCAGCCTGTAGGAAGGGGTCTGGGAATGTCAGGAATAATCCCTCCCGCAGCTGCTGCCTGGGCTGGATGGGACTCGTTGATTAGCACCTGCTTGTGATGAGTGACAGTGCAAGAGGGCATTCTCTTCTTAAGGGCAGGGATTTAGGGAGAAAAGGGATTTTAAGGAAAGCAAACTGCAGGCTCACTGGGGAATGCAGTGTTATTTTCTCTCTCCAGAGGTCACGGGGTGGCCCCCAGATGGGAACTGGGGCACCTGGGGGCCTTCAGGATCCTAAAAGTCTCCTGTTCAGCCTCCAGGTCCCTTCCCACACACACATCCCTTTCCCTGCTGGCCAGCAGTGGGTTCTGCTCTCTGGGAGGTGCTCCTGGGAGGCCTCAGGGGAGGATGGGTCCCACTTGAACCTCAGAGAGCTTTGCATCCCAGGGGAGCTCAAAAAGTCCTAAAAACTGAATCCTCAAGCAAGATACTGGATTTCACTTACCCTTCCCACAGCCCTAAAGATCACCCCAGAGAGCAGCCCCTGTGCCCTGCTCCCCATGCCCTGAGGATCCATCTCTTCCTGGCATTTCCATGGCTTTGGGGCACTGGGTGTCAGCTCCTCAGATCCCAGTCTGGTTTGAGTGGGGAGGGACCTTAAAGCCCATCAGTGCCACCCCTGCCATGGCAGGGACCCCTCCCACTGTCCCAGGCTGCTCCAATCCCTGCCCATCCTGGCCTTGGGCACTGCCAGGGATGGGTGGGTTCTGCTGGAGCCTGAGGGATGAGTGGGGATAGTCAGAGCTGGGTGCAGCCTTCCCTTGGCTGGGATCTCCTCTTCCCTGCCCTTCCTGCATCCTCCTCCTGGCCTTCCCCTGGTTTCCATCCCTCTTTGGGAGCTGCCTGGTGTTTGGGCTCCATCCTCTTTGATTCTCTAGCAACAGTGCTGAATTCTTGAGTAATTTTCTTTGCTTTTGAGTAAATCCCATAAACCATGGTCACAAAAATGGGATTTATGGCATCACTTGGAATTAATGGGCTGAGATATTGACACAGCAGCAACTTTCTAATGGAACAGTTAATTCCAGGGACCTTTACCAGAAACAGGCCTGGGGCTGCTGCTGTTCCTGGCTGGGACACTCAGTGCACCCTCAGGAGGACCAAAAGAGCTCCTGAGAAGGGGGAAGGAGCTGCAGCTGCCTTGCAGGGAGGATTTCTCTGAAGGAATTCAATATCTTGGTAATTTCTGGACTAAATCCCTGTGCCCTAAGGTGCTGGATTTACTTTCCATGTGTGTTCCACCCTGTCCTTGTCCTGAAGATTCCACCCCATTTTGTTCATTAACCCTTTCCCCCCTGGAGCAGGTGGTTGTTTTCCAGCTCCCTGGGGCTTTACAGCACCAGTTTCTGGCCAGTTCAGTCAGTGCTGCTGCTGCCCTCAGGCAGGCTGAGGCACTGGGGTCCCAGAGCTCTGGGGCAGGACAGGAGGGTTCCATGTCTGAGCACCCCTGGGACCCCAGGGCTGATTTCAGCTCACTGGGGAATGCACAGCTCAGGGAATGCTCCTGAAATTCCAGTGCCTGCTCTGTCTGGAGGTCTCAGCTCACAGGGTGACATGAGCAGGGTGGGCTCAGCACCCTGCTGCCATCAGCCCTTTCTGCCTTCATTAATCAGACAGGCCTGGGATTTGGTTGAGAAAGCTCTCCAAGACCATTAAGTCCAACTGGCCACCCAGCACCACCACCATGTCCCCACGTGCCACATCCACACACCTTTGGGACACTTCCAGGCATGGGGACTCCACCTCATGCTCTGGGCAGCTGTGCCAGGCCCTGACCACCCTTTCAGTGAGGAAATTTCCCTGATATCCAACCTGAACCTCCCCTGGCACAATTTGTGACTATTTCCGCTTGTGCTGTCACTTGTTGCTGAGAGAAGGGACCAACACCCACCTCCCTCCAGCCCACAGCCAAGACTGCACAAGCAGAGTGTCCCCTCTCTGGCTCCAGACACTCCCTTGTGCTGCAGGTGCAGCTCTGTGCTCCAGCCTTCCTTGCCTCACCAGCTGGATTCTCTCCCTCCTGGATGTGGTCTGGGATAGCCTTGTGTTCCCCAGCATGGCAGGGGCACCGTGGCATCCACAAGGGACAGGCTGCTGGGGACATCCCTTCAAGAAGTTCAATTCCCATACCCAAACGCCCTTGTGAGGGTGGGCAGGCCCTGGCACAGGGTGCCCAGAGGAGCTGGGGCTGCCCCTGGATCCCTGGCAGTGCCCAAGGCCAGGCTGGGGCTTGGAGCAGCCTGGGATCGTGGAAGGTGTCCCTGCCCTACAGGGGTGGGATGGGATGGGCCCAAACCAGCCCAGGATTCTGTGTGGCTGTAGTGCTGGGGTGTCACAGCACCCCAGGGCAGGTGTTGGGGACAGGGAGCAGCCTGGCCAGAGGTGCCCATCCCTGTCCTTCATCCACAAAATCGTCCCAGCCAGGAGGGACTTGGCCTTTTCCTCGTGGTGCGGGCACAGCTCGGGGACAGGCACTGCAGTGTTCCATGCTGAGCATCCCACGCTGAGCATCCCAGCTGTATTTAGGGAGGAAGAGGAAGCACTTCACTGCCAGCTGCACATCCCCTGACAAGGGTGCATCAGGCACAAAGAGTCCATCACGTTCAGTTCCTTCCTGCCTCTGTCCTTCAGAGAGTGGGAGCTGTCCTTGTGATCCAGGGAGAGTACCACAGGGAAACCAAACCTGGAGGAGAGGGTCACAAAGAGGTGGAACATCCTGGGATCTGTAGCAGAGCAGGGATGGTGTGGAGCCCAGCTGTGGACAAGGTGGCCCCAGGTGTGGACAGGGTGTCTCAGCAGCCAAGCAGCCTCCTTAGAGCAGCTGTGAGCAGGAAATGATGGAATTCCTGAAGGTTTTCTCCCTTGTCTCCT